GTGTGTCTGTGTGTGTGTGTGTGTGTGTGTGTGTGTGAATGTGTGTGTCTGTGTGTGTGTTGGGGCCACAGGAGAACTCATGTTAGTTAGCTGTTTAGCAATGGTGGACAACTTGCTGATTTTCCTCGTGAAATTCACTCGGGCTCTTTAATTTTCAGCAAGTTGTTTTGTAGCAACTCTCTGCTCTCTCTGCTCCTGAGTCCTTCCTCTTCCTCTTTGGTGCTGGTGGGCACCAGGAGAGGCCTCAACCCTCAGCTCTTCTCTGCTCTCAGCACAGAAGAGGAGAAGAAGAATGAGTTGGTGGAATAGGACCTGGAGAGCAGCTGAAGAGCAAACACTACATTTCCATAGACTCTCTACTGTTCTTCACTGCTCAATACTGTGTGTGTGCGTGTGCGTGTGTGTGTGTGTGTGTGTGTGTGTGTGTGTGTGTGTGTGTGTGTATGTGTGTGTCTGTGTGTTGTTATTGGCCAGTTTGAAGTTTAACAGATGGCAATGTTATGTAGATTTTTACCAACCGTGGCTCCTTCACTGACCCATGGACAATATACTTCTGCAAACAGCACCTGTAAAACACACACACACACACACACAAACATAGTGAATAATCTCACTGATAAACATCCTCATGTCTAAGTCGACAATAAAAAACACTTTCAGTTTTGTTGAGATGTTTCAAATCCAAAAATAAGAAACTACAACTATAACAATTATATTTTTAGTGACTTATATGTGCAGAGAGTGAGACATAGTCTGGAGCTGAAGGACTCTGACCTCAGGACTGTGTCGTTCTGACTGAATTCGTTTTCTAATTAACTAGAAACCAAAAATCATGTTACACAGAAAATCTGCATCAAGACATTTTTATTCAGGCTCCTTGTTGCTCTCTGTGTCTTTGAGTCATTTCAGAGAATTGAATTTATTACATTTTTAAGGGACTTCTGAATTCAAAACAACTTTAGCCTATTCAATAATAATAAATCAGTGGTGTTTCTATTTACTGTCAGGTTACTGTTGTGATGGTCAATAAAAAGGCAATGTTTTCTTTTTTAATTATTATGATTATTTCAAGAAGGTGGCTGATGTCATGAAGTTTAAAATCAGGCCTATAGTAATCCTGTTTTCCACTTATTCTCAATTTAAATGAAAACCTCAAACAAGTGAAGGTGCATTTCATCTTAAATAATAAAATAAAATCATGACACATATCTGATCATCAGCATCAGGCTTTGTTACTGTGTTTCTCATGATAACTGTTTCTCTTTGGCCCAAAAAATAAATGCCTATGTAATAAAAAATCTAATCAAGTAAAAATATTTATCATAATGCAAAAAATACACCTGAATAGGCATTACATTATGCTTAAATCTTTTGAATGAATGTCCAGAAGGAAGTTTTTGTCCCTAGATTTCGTGGAAACATTCCACTGAGAGGCCGAGAGAAACACACCAACTGGACACTGGTAATATTCAGATATTGTTTTTATCTATAGAAAAAAAATTTATTGAAAAGAAAAAAAAACTTCGCTCATGATGCACGTGCGAACTTATTTACAAAACCACACACACACACACACATAATAATATTCATTGCGTGTGTGCGCACCGGGGCTCGCTGCATTATGAATGTACACTTGTGTGCTCTCATGGGAAGAGCTTCAGCTTCATAGACACTCACTCATGATGTGTCCTGTGCTTCCTCCTGTTGGACACACACACACACGCACACACGCACACACGCACAGAGGAGGTTGAGATGACTGACAGCTGGACATCCCGCACTTATGTAAAAAAAAACCTCACGTTTTTGTTTCAAATTGACCATAAAAACAAACGAAATGAACGTGAGATCAGTTTTCCTTGTTAACACAATGTCACTGCCTGCCTGGTTAATGGGGATATCGATTATTGATTGGTCTGGGAGCCTGTGGCGAGGAAGTCAGGGAGAGGAGGACAAGCAAGTTTACGCTGAGAGGATTTTATTTTTTTTATATAAAAGTAATAATACAATAATCATATTTTTTTAATTTAAATTAGTTTTCTCATTAAAAATGCATTAATGTATATTATTGTCTTTAGTTGAAGGCTCTTCAAAATATGTATATTATTCTAAATAAATCAATATTGGCATATTTTAATAACCATCATCAGCCATGTTAATCTGGATCACAGTGTTTTTTAAACCTCTAACTCGGGGTCACATGTGACAGGCAGCAGGAGCAGGGGTTTGAGGCTGCATGGGGGAAAGTTTTCAGAGGTCATGACACCCAGTGACAGGTCCCACCCTGAGGCCCGAGGCTGTCCGAGCACACACACACATCTACAGGCTGCACACCGGTGCACACAGCGTTTCCACAGCACAGGAAACAATGTCTGGTGAAAGTGGGGGGGGGGGGGGGTCAAAGAATAACGTTGTTTTATTGTGTGTTTTTTCACGCAAAAACACACTGATTACTTTGAGCTGCACATTCAGAACATTAACTTTTCATACATTTCACAGAGAGAAATAAAGGCCTTTAAACCCAGCAGCAGAAGTGAATCATGATGGGAAATATTATAGAGTCCAGTTCTAAATAATAATGATAATAATAATAAGCAGGAAAACAAAGAAACCAAACCTCCATTGAATAACATATTCTAGAAACATGGAGACTTACCCAAACTAAATCCAATACCTTCCAAATAAGCAAATATTTCTGTTTGCTTAAAGACAAAAATGAATTCAAATGGAAATAGTTTTTTTAAATCTCTTTTTTCAGAACAAAAATGTATTTGGTTTGTGTTTGAATAAATCTCAAACCAATTACAGTGAATGCAGGCTTCACGTTATTTGGGCCTATCCAGCACAAAAGAATAAATACATCAGTTTGCCACAAAATACAACTGATCTGAGTTTACCTGACGAGGATCACTAATATACAGAGGTCATAGTTTAGCCATATTTATATTTACTTCCACAGCCTAACAACAAACAGTGTGTCAGGAGATAATCAGCCGTATAAGATTCACTCAGAGCCGCCGAATAAACACAAACACGCTGCTGAACAAACACGATAAACAAGCGCAAACTGGCATTTCATAAAAAAGACGAGATGCAAGAAATTATGGCTCATTAGTGTGTGTGTGTGTGTGTGTGTTTTGTTTAGCAGCAACGTGCACGGAGAGCCCGCACTGCTCTGCACTGCTGCATGGTGCAAGTGTAGCGGGGCTGGCTGCTCGGGTTATCTGTGAATGGGCTCTTTATTGGAGGCGCGGAGCGGGGATTTGCCTTTTATGCGCCTCGCTATGGAAACGCGCTCGACGGCAGAAAAATGTCGACGCGAATAAAAGGAATCGGCACAAGGAGCGTTTCTAGAGAAGCATCTGTTACACTTAGAAACTTAGACTATCGAGAGCAATACAACCCCCTCTCCAAGTCGCTCTCCTGCCTGCTTTATCCTGCACAAAAACCATACACTTCATTTTTCTCACAAGACAAAAAAATCATTAAAGATGTTTTTCTTTTCTTGTATATTTTTGTAACGATTTGAAAAAATATTATTCCCATGCTCAGACTTGTTCTTTTTTTCTTTTCTTTTTTCTCCAAAGTAATCTCTCAAAGTCAAATCTCTTCAGCGTGTCATTTAATCTGACGCGTAAAAAATGGCACACATTGTACTGTAACGCCATGGCTACCTTTGTGCATCTGTTTTTTATTTTCTTTATTGCTTATAATGCTGCATGTTTTCATCCCACAACGACTCAAACGATCCACTCCAGCAATCTGGGGCAGTGGAACAACACTGACGTTCTCATCAAATATTCAGCCACTCTCACAGAAGTTTCCAGGAGTAAACCAAATGAAGAATTTACGCACAGCACCACGCTGGAGTTAGGATAAGAACAAAACAACAAACATATTTTATTCTAATTTATGTCTCCTCCATCCTGTGCTGGCTGTATTACACGAGGCTTCAGAGCAAACCCTGTCCTGCCACCAGCTTCCTCTCATTCCTCCGCTTACTGAGGCCCTCTCCGTCCACCCCTCCAGCGGCCCTGTCAAACACATCCATCCCGCGGTCCGCTCACCTGCTACGGCCTCCTCTCTCTGCCTCCCTCTCTCTCTTCCTCCGTCTCCACAGCCTTGCTCCTCGGCTCGGCGCTCTTTAATGACTTTCTGGTGGCTGCAGCCTTCTTTTATTTCTCCTAAATGTATGAAAATGTATGCAAATTTAAATCAAGCTTAACCTGGAAGCTCGAGCAATATATTTAATGGAATTTCAAACCCATAAGAGACTAGGACGCAGTCATCTAATGGCAAATATAATTACGCGGCTACGTTTTTACCCTCAGATGTGCAGATATATCCTTTTTACCCAACTCTGAGAGACCCTGATGAGATACTTAAAGATTGGAAGTGTGAAGGTGTAATGTGTGAGGATACATTTGGACTGCGTCTTTGAGAAAATGAGAAAGTGAAGAGGTTTTCGGTTGTAAACATGTCTGATGAACACGTGTCACCATGTTGCAGTAAAAAGTCTGAATTTAGCCAAAATCTAATTTAAAAGTCTAGATTGTAGTTATAGACCCATGACATGTGATTATTGTCTGACCAAACAGGACATGGATAATGGCCCGTGCGTAAAACACCTTTGCGGAAACCCTACCTTGAGACGTGTCGTGTTCTATGAACACTGGAGGAAGTATTCTCTAAAAGTTAATCAGTAGCAGTGTGAACTGCTCTTGGTTTGATTGTATCCTTCTAAATTAAGTGCTGGCACGTCTAACAAATGCCATTGCGCTTTAATCTCCTCCTTCGCAGGCGCTCAAGGGTGACAGGAGTAGCAATAAACTCGTGCGTAAATCAGTTGGAAACTTTAATTAATAAACAGGAACTGCGCTTCACGCGCACATCGTTCCACAGCCAGACCCACTGGACCAGTACCCCGACTCACTTCCGGTTCGACTGCCTGTAACCCTTTCCTTCCCGCAGCACCGCTGCCAGAGGCGGTTGTTCTGGTATCCGCGCCGTCATTGGTGGAAGCGCGTCGTCACTGCGTCTCCGTCGCTCCGTGAGTGGCGGTGGAGGCTGTCAGTCAGTGTTAGGCTGCTGCCGAGACTCCAGAGAGAGGGAGATGTCAGAGGCTGAGCTGCTCCCTCCCTTCAGTAGCACTAGTGGGGTTCAGCAGCCAGCATGGCTACAGCTGCCTCCAGCCCCTATACCCTGCTCAGCTCCAGTCCCATGATCCACCCGGACAGCCAGGCCATGCAGCCTGCTAGCCCCTACAGAGGACACCAGAAACTCCTCCAGAGTGACTACCTGCAGAGCGTCCAGAGCAACGGACACCCCCTCGGGCACCAGTGGGCGAGCAGCCTGTCGGAGGGCAGCCCCTGGTCGGCCTCCATGGAGCAGCAGGACATCAAACCAGGCCGGGAGGACCTGCAGCTCGGCATCATCCATCACCGTTCCTCGCACGTAGCGCATCACTCCCCTCATCACAACAACCATGGCAACCACCCGGGAGCCTGGGGAACTCCCGTGTCCCACAACTCCTCCATCACCAGCGGGCAGCAGATCAACATCTACTCCCAGACGGGCTTCACTGTCAACGGCATGCTGGACCACGGCGGGCTCACGCCTCCACCCAACCCGCAGGGCCAAGGCATGCACCCGGGCCTCAGGGACACACTCAGCCCCGAGCACAGCGACCTCGGCGGGCACCACTGCCACGACCACTCCGACGAGGAGACGCCGACCTCGGACGAGCTGGAGCACTTTGCCAAGCAGTTCAAACAGCGGAGAATCAAGCTTGGCTTTACGCAGGCGGACGTGGGGTTGGCTCTGGGCACGTTGTACGGGAACGTCTTTTCCCAAACCACCATCTGCAGGTTCGAGGCTCTGCAGCTGAGCTTTAAAAACATGTGCAAACTAAAGCCGCTGCTGAACAAGTGGCTGGAGGAGGCGGACTCGTCCACGGGCTGCTCGAGCAGTATAGACAAGATAGCAGCTCAGGGGAGGAAGAGGAAGAAGAGGACGTCCATCGAGGTGAGCGTGAAGGGGGTGCTGGAGACGCACTTCCTCAAGTGTCCCAAACCCTCCGCGCAGGAGATCACGTCGTTGGCGGACTCGCTGCAGCTGGAGAAAGAGGTGGTGCGCGTGTGGTTCTGCAACCGACGGCAAAAGGAGAAGCGCATGACACCGCCGGGGGAGCCGCCGCCGCACGAGGGACCCTACTCGCACAGCGGGAGCGCGGGGGACGCGTCCTCGTGTCACGATCTCTGACCGAAGCATCGGGAGGAATCCCACCACCACACACCCCCACCCTAACCCCGGCACAGACTCTCGAGCGCACGGGGTGCACGGCGGAGGCACCTTCCAGTGCGCAGCGCCTGTCCCGGTACGGACTCGTCCCAGACGCCTCTCCAGCACTGAAACAATAACAAGAGATACCCGTCCAGCCTTCGTCGTTTTCTAACTGTCATGAGGGCATTACTCTATTCTATAGCGGCATATCAAACGTCACATTTCACCAGGTTTTTTATTTTTTTTTTGGAGCCAAAATGATTTTCTACATCACGGATCTAAATACAAAATGTGCCTATATAATAATAACCTGCCAGCGCCTTTGGTTTGTGGTTTGTGTCACCATTCTCCCATCAGCTCGATAATAATGACAGTGTGGGGACTGATGCTTTTTGATTTGTTTTGGCTTCTCTCTCACGCACACACACACGCACATACTCACACACACACACTTGGCCTGTGCCGTATGATCAGTGGAGTGAAACTGATAATAATATCACTTTTCTTAATTGATTTGTTGCAGCACCAGAGGCCATTTTACAGTCCACCTCACGCTTCCCTGCGGGCTTATACACGACGCTTTAGTTCTCTGCATATTCACATTTACAACATACTCTCAGCAGATCTGTAATTATTATTCTATTTTATTATTATTTTTGCATATGCAGATACAGGCCATCATTCCAGATGTAGAGCTACCAACAGAATAGCACTTGGAGGATTTTTCTTTTATTTACATCCTCCCCAATGGCCTTGTGAAGCCACACACACACACACACACACACACACACACACACAGTCAGAGCTATTTATAAACCCATTTATTTGATTTCAATCATCTTCGACCATACAAACTGTGTGGACTCTGAACCAGAGCCGAGAGCAGAGACAGAGAGAGGGGCTTGAATGACGCTATACACCTGCCTATAATTTTATTGTACGTTCACTATCAAAAAAATCTTTTTATAATCTTAAATACTCCTGTTATTTGGTTTATTTCTTAAGTATTTTTTCGAATATTGTACAGTTTTATATATTACCCTTTTGGAAGTTATTAATTTAAACAAATGCTCTTAGTTATTCATGCACTTAATTAGCAATGTAAAAAAACAAAACAATATTTTCAGTAAGATTGAACTGTTTCGGCGGTTTTATTCCAAATTTCGATGAACAGCTCGAGTGA